TGCACAATTTTTATAAATGAGTGACAATGATATTTGAGTTCGACTACTTGCTATGTTGAATCTTCTTATTTAAAAGCTTACATTTTTTTAAATTTTGTCGATTTTGTGAAGATTGCACGTCTTCTTTTGTTGCTTCTCGTGGTCTATGTTCTATGAGTAATACAAGACAAATGCAACATTTTAATACATTAAATACTTCATTAATTTATTATGTTGTTCTCTAAACAAAAATATATTATATTTTATAACTTAAAATACTTGATAATTTATTATTTTTAGGTATGGTCAAATAAATAATTTAAATAAACTAAATATTATGCTNATTTAGTTTCGATTCTTATTCGATCCTTCGGTTCTTGGTCTAGACCCAAGACCCGACCCAAACCCATCGGTTCTCGATTCGGGTACCCGTTCGGGTATTTAATTTATGAAGAACCACTAGATTCGATTCGGTTCGATTCTGTCCGGTTCGGGACTTTTGGACACCCCAGTGATAACTAGACCCAAATGAGATGAATTGGTTTTGGAATCAAAATTGAGCAATTTGAGTTTTGCACATGCATTCTCAGGCTATTCAACCATGTGTACACATGCCTTGAGCCTGCAGAAATAGAAGCAAAAATGAAAAATGCTTCTATCATGTGTACGCATATGCCAAAAAACTAGCCATTAGGTTGGTTTTTTCTGGTTTGATTCTTGACAAATTTTCATGAAAATATTTAACTTTTCATATTAGTATGACACTATTTCGTAGATGGTAAATAGAAATCTATAAATAGGTGATAGATTTCAATTACAAATATAACAAATCAACAATCAAAACCACATTATAATGATTTTAAATTCAATTCATTTACATATTCAAACGTTTAAAGTGTTCTTCAAGTTTTGGAAGATAAATACAAGTGTTTAAGTATTTTCTTCTTCAAGGTTGATCAATCTTACAAATCATTTGTCAAGAGTCTCTTTAAACACCAATTAACTCATACATTGGGCAAATATCGTTTAAGGACAACGGATTTTGTGATTGAGCATTTCCCTTGAAGCATAATATTCCAACAATTTCAAACGATACTCTGCAATGGAGAATGAAGATCATTTGGTTCTTGCAGGAGAGGAGACACGAATTTGCTGCGTGACAAACTTAAACATGAGAACAACATCACGGAGAATGAAAACATTGTGCCTCTCCAAAATGGTGATATCATGATTATGTATGATGTGATCAGATAATATGAATCGAATTACTTGGCACAAGTCACGATCTCAAATCACAACCCCTTCACCCGTCTTGACAATTGGAAGTTGAGTTGGGAATGGATGGAACATGAATTCATCAGCCAAGGTAACTTCTACAAAGATTTTGATTTTTCGACAGCCTCAAGTTGTGAGAAAAGGCCAACAATAATTGATCTCCCTCTTGAAAGAACAAATGATACTACGTTAGGAATGATTCCTTTTTGTTGTCGGAATGGAACAATTTTGCCTCCTTCCATGGATTTAACCAAGTCCAAATCAGCCTTCCAAATGCAAGTTTATAAAATGCCACCATATCTGAACAAGACACCACTGACTCCTCCTTAGAACTGGAAAATCGATAGTACACTCGGGCACTCGGGCTTGACTATCAATGCGGTAACCCAGCAAGGGTAAACCCAACCCTCTTCCCCGATCCAAGTGGACTCCCTTCAGACTCAGCAGCCATTGCTAGCTGGCAAATCGTCTGTAACATCAGGCGTCACGAGTCAAAGAAACCTAAATGCTGTGTATCATTCTCAGCATTCTTCAATGACTTTGTCATTCCATGCAATACCTGTGCCAGTGGGTGTGATACGACTACGAACCTGAGAAATGTTTGCAGCGCCACGGAGCAACCGCTCCTTCTCCCGGCTGAAGCCCTACTCATCCCATTCGAGAACAGAACCAAAAAAGCATTGGAATTCGCAGAACTCAAAAGACGCGAGACCCCAGATCCAATGCGTTGAGCAGATAATTGTGGTGTAAGCATTTACTGGCATGTGCTTACAGATTAAAAAGATGGATGGGCTGCTAAAATGACACTCTTCAACTGGGGAGAATCTGACATTGTAGATTGGTTTTCTGCTGTCGAACTGGTCCGAGCAGTGCCTGGTTTTGAAGAAGTTTATTCTTTCGCAGGAAATCCCCTAAAGGATGCCAATAACACGATATTTTTCAAGGGTCTTTCAGGCCACAACTAACTGGTTGCAGAAAGAAACGGGTCCAACCCAAAAAAGGATCCTCGGGTTCCCGGGACCGAGCGGTCAGTGATAACTTTTACTAAGAAGAAAACATCTGGAATTAATGTGGCTCGTGGGGATGGATTTCCCACCAAAGTTTACTTCAATGGGGAAGAATGCACACTTCCTACAGTACTTCCAAGCAGCTCATAGATTGGTGCAGCCTCTGCTGTATTTAGCGGTATTCTTTTGATGCTGCTAATTCTTGTAGGCCTGCAGCAATAGTAACATACACTTAACAATTATGGCAATGCTTCTTTTATTCTTTCTTTCATTCCATGTCATTGCAATTTATGATTTTACAAGGCTAATTGAGATCCTTTATATATTTCAATTTATTGAGCAGGTAGATTCTATGGGCAGTTGAGGTTCCAATCCAAAAGGTTTGCATATTAGATCGAGTACTTTGATCACTTTATAAACTCACATTACATGTGTTTAATCACTGTAAGACTTTTATTTGCACCATTTCAACAAGATATCAAACGAAGTACCACATTGTCACCACCTACACGATAATCATGGCCCCTTTTTCTATCCATCAACTTCTTCCAGTAAGATCCACATTATCCATAGTGCAAGGCTTGTATTTACTATAGAGATTCCACCATCCTAAGAGTCAGCATCAACATTGATATTAAGTGGGGCCCAGATCTTCCAATAAGTCCATAGATTCAACTCCAACATCGACATGGCTAAGTTTGAGATATGCTTTGTAGAGACTTGACCTGTCGTCCCAAAAGTCCGGCATGTTAGGTGAAGTAGAAAAATGCTTTAATAAACTAGAAAATTTGTGTACCTTATCGATCAGGACTTTTGTTTGCACATTTTCAACACATTTAACAACATATATTCGAATAAAGGAAATTATTCACAGTTGAAAATTTTCAATCAAGAAATAAACAAAAGAATAACTTAAAAAATAAGTTCAAGTAACTTTCAAGTTTAGCCAGACATTTTGTAAATCGTGAATTATTAAGGCTCTGTCTGGGAATAATTTATAAATAGATAAAAATGAATAGTGAATAGTTTAACAAATCGTGTGACTTTATATACACGTCTTGCAAAGACTACTAAATACTAATTATTAGATGATAGTTGCATGTATTTTATTTTCTTTAAACTGGTTCAAATGGAAGTGCTGGGTACAAGAAAGTGAATTTGCCTAACAAGCATCTAGGCGCTTTGAACACAATATTTAAATAAATAAAAATTTCCCTAAACTTTCAAATGAGGTGTAAGAGAACCAAATTGTGGGTAAATTATAGGATCTTATCTAAATTACGACCTCCTTGGAAAATTTTCTCATCTTATCTGCACTAAACATGAATGGTCGATAGTGGTATGAAAAAATCACAAGCTAGGGAACATAATCAAACCTTTATTGTGATGGGCCAAGCTTCCTAATTAACCACTTCTTTCGCAGCTTCACATCCAATGCCAAAAATGTTTTGGCTTTCTTTCATCCTCCAGAAAATCAGAAGCATCCAACATAAGGTCTTCATCCATATCAGGTACAGCCTGGATCGCTTTTATCACATTTTCTAGGGGAACTGAGTTCAAATTCTCGTCTTCTTTTCTCTCGTCTCCCACAGACATCTCGCAAAGAGCATGAACCGCACCCTCAGTTTTTCGCCGTGCTTTCTTGGAAGTACCCGAGATGGGCAGATTTCCAAACGAGTTCTGCTATGGGTTCCTGTACCCATCCAGGATAGAAACAATAGGGGTGGTGGGCGGGTAGAAAAATCAATTTTTTAATCACATGGGATCCACTCCATTGTGAGTAAAATTCAAATTTTTGATGAAAATTCTATAGAAAAAATCTGTAGTCACAACATTTTTGTTTTCAAACTGGCACTTTGTCGACTGACTGGTTATAGTGATCGTACAATCTGAACGTGAAGACTCCCTTTCTCGAGAAACTGATCCGACCCTGACATGGCTGGAGATTGGCAAACCCTCAGTGGTTGGACAAATTTGAATTCAGGGACTTCAAATTGGATATCCAAATCAAGGCCTGACATCCATTAATTCCTTAACATCACCGCTTAAATCTCTCCATATCAAATGTAAATATTTGTAGTATGGTACGGGTCTGGTCATGTATTGACTAGCATCCATACGTTCCTGCAATTCATCACAGTTCAATAGTATTTTTTTAACGAAACAAGGTAACGCTCATCACGGACTAATCATATGAAGTGGTATGAGATCAATAAATCATTCAAATTACTCTGAAGAAAGGGATAATAACAAATTAAGAGTATCACACGTGTATTTTAACGCTGCTGAAAGCTTCATGATACTAAAATTTCATAAATAATTCAAGATCGTGCTAGGCTGAAGTTGTAGTATTCTGTTGAGATTTGAATATCATAGCAATCAGATTTAGGCCTCATTTCTTAGATCCTAAAAGCTGTAGACAGTATCAATGTTGCTGTCAAGAAACTATATCCTCAAACAACTGAAATAAGCTGCTACATATGCATCATTACTTTTTATGTGCACGCCATCAGAAAAGCAGTTCATTCCATTCAACTGAAATCAATAAATTTTTCTTAGTCTTATTTTAAATAAAAAAAGCTATTTGACATTGAATGGCAATGAAACAAGTTATATATCAACTGAAAACCAGTAATCAAGTTTGACATCTGTTATGATAGAATACAAACCTTGATATGATTATGCCATTTGCGGTCATCAGCAGTCACCATTTGCCGGGCATCACCCCAAGAAAAGACTTCACTTTTTGAGAATGTCAACTTCGTAGTCAAATCCAAAATCAGCATTAGTAAGTGCAATCATCTCCATCCATGCTTGTTTTCTGAATAGGCCATCAACCTGGTTTCCTTTTTTCACTTGATCTAGCATAAGATCAATGAAATAACAATCCATTGGTGGCTGCCAGTATGTCCTTGAACGAGCACCTATAGTGGAGCCAATATCTGATGGCACCTGTTGTGTGTTGTCAACAATTCCTTTTCGTCACATGGATTCCATAATCTTCATCAACCATAAATATCATGAAGAGATTCAACGGCCACATTAATAATGCAGCCAGGCTCCATTATATCCTAGCCCAAATGTGGTGAACATTCCAACAATCTGCAACCTGGCTTCTCATCATCTAGATTTGAATGAAGATATTTCACACCTTCTGACAAGCTATATGTATCAGAATGTGACACACTGTCAATACTATTGACATTTTTCCTTGCCTCGGAAGGTTGCGTTTTTATACATCTCACACAAAAATTTGATAATCTCGGAGTCATTTTTACTCTGTATGATCACCCATGCTCACCAAAATTCCAGGATCAGCTACTGTTCTCAACTCAATCTTTCCTCACCAAGTCTTCTTGACTAACTTTCCCATCCACTAGCTCAATAATCTACTTGTAAATAAGTCCATTATTTTTCGTGAGCATCAGAAAACATTGGCAAAAATGAGGATCAGTTAGTAAAAAAACTATTTATCAATTATATATGTAATTGTTCTCATATCCACAATGAACATGATAAATTGGCAGGAGAACCTTTTTTACGATTCTCTCATGTGAGAACCATAAGTAAAATTCTCTCAAAGTGGACAAGATAAGACTTTCATTGCAAACAAGATGTGAAGGCTGTGATGTCAATCCAATAGGCGATGATGAAACTGGCATTCGGCCCAATGCTATTGCCCAATATAACCAACTTAAGTAGCCCATAGAAGTAGCACGTTTCCTGTGATCATGAGAGTTCTTGGTAAATCTGGGTTTTACGGTGTTGATACAGAAGAGTACTATATTTTGAGCCTTCGATTGATGATACTTTGGTGTCCAGTGGTTCTAATGTGAAGTTTGTAATAGGTTGTATAGATATGTAATATTTTGTATCTTGGTTTGTATAACAGTGGTATCAGAGCATCTCCTGGTTGTTCTTGGGGCTTCGATCGAAGTTAGGACACTGAAAAATTAATTTTTAGATTCTTTTTTTTTATCCCTTGAAAGTGTGAAACCCTAGATCTAGATTCGTTACAGTCTGGGGCTTATTCTTACATATCTGTATTTTAGTTGGGGAAATTGATACGGTGTTCGTGATTTTTTTTTTGTTCGACCTGAATAAGGAACCCTATAACTTGGGGATTCCTTTGATTCTTGGTCCTTTGGTGGAACACCATACCTCTGATGTGACATATGGTCCTCCCTATTACACTGTATTTAGCATGTTGGTGGTTAATCTTGAACTACCCCTCTGGTTTGCAATCTTAAAACTAAAATTCCCACCCCTTTATATCTGCATATTCGTATTTTTTGCTAAATTTGTGTATACATCCTGGTGTTCAAATTGATCCTTGACCTAAGAACTTGAGTCTCACAGAATCCTGGTGAATTTGATCATTCTTGAGGTGACTACAATTGTTTCCTTATTTGTTTTGAGATATTTTTACTTCTGTTGTTGTTTTTCATACCTTGATTCTGGGCTGTGTTATCTTTGGTACACTTTTCCATTGAAAATAACTGTGATATATATTTTTTATTGCTGCTTATTTTCTGTGATCTTGATCTCTTATTTTTTTTGTAAAGATCAAAATCTCCTGATTTTTCAAAAGTTTATCTGCTGTATAGTTTTAAAGTTTCTTTTTGAAATACTTTATGTTATTTCTTAACAATAAAACATGACAAATACTACTTTTGAATTTGGAGTTTTTAATGAAAATGAGATTTTCCCATTTGACAACAAAAAATGAAAAGCGTTCTTGTTCAATAAAAAGTTTCTAAAGCAATAGAATTTCCTCTATTATTTTGCGTTTATTTGATCAAGTTTTGAGGAAAGTAGGAAAACAGGATTATGCTATGGCTCTATGGGATGAATTAGAGAAACTTTATCTTGTTAAATCTTTACCAAATAAGTTGTTTCTATTGGAAAGATTTTTTAGCTTTAGGCTAGATTCGTCTAGGGATTTAGATGATAATCTTGACATCTTTAATAAGTTGGTTTAAGATATTACCAATATTGGTGATAAAGATTCTGAGGAATATAAGGTTGTTGTGTTACTTAATGCCATTCCTGAAACTTATAAGAAAGTTAAGGTTGCCATAAAATATGGTCGGGATACCCTTACACTTGAGATAGTTATGAACTCTTTAAGGAGTAAAGAACTTGAATTAAAGATTGAGAAAGAACCTAGAGAAGGTTTAATGGGAATCAGGAAACTTCTAGTAAACAGGGGAACAATAATAGAAGGAAATTCAAAAGTAGGGGCAGGTCTAAGTCAAAGACAAGAAATAAAAAACGTTATGGGTGTGGAAAGACTAGACATTTTATCAAAGATTTTTTTAAGAAGAAAAATGAGCAGAAAAATAAAGGTATTAATGAAGGAAATGTAGTAGAACCTACGGATTCTACTACTGTAAATGTACATGTATCTCTGCCAATGTTGTTGATGAAGAAAATCAAATTCAAGAATGGATCTTGGATTCTGGTTGTTCCTTCCACATGACTCCTAAGAAGAATTGGTTAGACTGTTTTAAGGAAATTAGTTGTGGAGTAGTCATGGGAAATAACATTGCTTGCAGGGTTGAAGGATTGTGAATGTAACATTGAAACTTGATAATGGATATATTTCTACCCTTGAAAGGGTAAGATATGTTCATGAATTAAATAGGAACCTAATTTCAATAGGAAATTTGGATGATGAAGGTCTACATGGTAAGATTGGAGATGGCCTATTGAAGGTGCTGAAGGGATCTCTTGTTATGTTTAAAGGGATTAAAAGAAATGTGATTTATGTGGTTAAGGCTAGTATAGTGGTTGATCACATTGTTGAGTCTTCCAGTGCTGAACTTGATGCCACTCTAAAATGGCACAAGAGATTAGCTTATGTGGGTAAAACTGCATATCCTTTATAAGAAATAGGTTTTCGGAAAGGACTCTATATCTAAAGTCCACTTTTGTGAAAATTGTACTTTAGGCAAGCAGCATAGGTTGCACTTTAACGCTAGAAAGTATAAGTCTACATCTATTCTTGAATATAAACACTCAGATGTATGGGGACCTTCATCTACTATCACTCAAGGAGGAAATATATATTTTATGCCCTCGATTGATGATTATTCTAGGAAGGTTTGGGTTTATTTGTTAAAACATAAATCAGATACCTTTGGAAAATTTAAGTCTTGAAAAGTTATGGTAGAGAATCAAGCTGCGAAGTAAATTTAGACAATCTGGACTGATAATGGTTTAGAATTTTGCAATACTAAGTTTGATCAGTTTTGCAATGAAACTGGGATTAAGAGTCATAGGACTGCTCCTTATACTCCACAGCAAAATGGAGTGACTAAGATGATGAATAGGACTCTATTAGAAAATGTTAGATGTATGCTTGTAGGATCAGGTATTCCTAAGGTCCTATGGTGTGAAGCTTTAATGACAGCTTCTTGTATTCTTAATAGAACTCCTTCAAGTGTTCTAGGTGATAAAACACCTGAAGAGCAGTAGACTGGAAATGTTCTAGGTTATTCTTATCTAAATTTTTTTGTATGTGCTACCTATTCTTATCAGAATATAGGAAAATTAGAGCCTAGGGCTCAAAAATGTGTTTTCTGGGGATATCCTGATGAGGTTAAAGGGTATAGACTTTGGAATAGAGAGTCTAAAGGTTTTAAGATTATCACAAGTAAAGATGTTACTTTTGATGAATCTAATACGCACCGTTTGAGAGATAATGAACCTAACAGACTACCTGAGTGAAAGGAGGAAATGGGACCAAGCTGAAGGTGGAGCTTGGACTCTCATCTAATCTTGTTGAAAGAGAACAGGTGGAGGAGAAAGCGGGAAATGCTTTTGATCCTCAAAGTTTTGAAGAAGAGGATAGTGTTCGATAAGATTTAGATAAATTGGTTGGTGATGTGAGTGATTACGAGTTAACTAGAGATAAAATTAGGATAGAAATAAGAGAGCCTATAAGGTATAGAGATTACTTGTCACTTGCTGTTACGTCTTATCAAGATCTTGTCTTCAAAGAACCTAAATCTTAATAAAAGGCTATGTGCAGCCAACAATCTGAGAATTGGCAGGCTGCTATGAAAGATGAAATTGACTCCTTAATGAAAAATAGAACTTGGACTTTAGTTCCAAAACCTGCAAGTAAGGCACTTGTTGATTGCAAGTGGATTTTTAGTGTTAAGTAGGGAAATATTGAGAGGATGCCTGTCAGATTTAAGGATATGCTTGTTGCTAAGGGCTTTACACTAAAAGAAGGCATATATTATAATAAGATTTTTTCTCCTGTGATTAAGTATACTACTATTAGAGTTATGTTGGCTCTTGTTGCTTATTATGATTTTGAACTTGAACAAATGGATGTAAAAACTGCATTTTTACTTGATGATCTAAATGAAGTGATTTATATGAAACAACCACTTGGTTTTATTGATAAATCTAAAGCGGAAAATGTTTGTTTGTTGAAAAGATCTTTATATGGACTGAAGCAATCTCCAAGATAGTGGTACAAAAGATTTGATAATTTTGTATCTACTGTTGGCTTTATCAGAAGTGAATTTGATCACTGTTTATATTTTAAGAAAGATAATGCAAATACTATTGTTGACTTTCTACTCTTATATGTGGATGATATGCTTTTGATTGGTCAGAACATGTATGCTATAAATGACATAAAAAGATCTTTACGTGCTGATTTTGAAATGAAAGATCTAGGTCATGCTAAAAAAAAATTAGGCATAAAAATAATTAGAAAAAGGCATAATAGGTTATTAACTTTGAAAGAGACTGCATATGTAGAGAAATTGTTGAGTAGATTTGCTATGCATATCTCAAAACCTGTTACTCTTCCTTTAGCCAACCATTTTAATTTAAGTAAGGATCAATGTCCTATAGATGAATCAGTTATTAAACAAATGGAAAGAGTTCTCTATGCAAATGTTATAGGATCAGTTATGTACACTATGGTTTGTACTAGACTTGATGTAACTCATTCTATTAGTACTCTTAGCAGATTTATGGCTGACCCTAACCCAGGGTTTGAATATTAGGTTGCTTTGAAATGGTTGTTGAGATATGTGAAAGGTTCTTCACATTTAGGCTTATGTTTTAGTGCCTGTAATGAAGGTGTAGTGCTTAAAAGCTTTGTAGATTCAATTTTGCTGGAAATAGAGACAATTGAAAATCTGCTACATCTTATATGTTTACTTTGTGTAGAACATGTATTAGTTGAAAATCCCAACTTCAACATGTTGTTGCTCTATCCACAACTAAGGCTGAATACGTTGCT